GCAAAGTGTGGATCATGGGTCCGTGCCCCCGAAAAAAAAAAAAAAAAAAAAAAAAAAAAGAGTCCCCACCTACCTATTTGCCTGCTAGGAAAAATGCCACCTCTGTCATCCAGGTATCACTTCTGTATGTCTCTTTGGCAGAGTCTGGGCCACAAGTGCAATGTGAGGGAGTTTGGGAAATGGAGGCTTCAGCTTTCAGCTTTGTAGCATGCTGCAAAGAGAAGAGGAGTGGAGTTGTGTGAGCCATGTACGCCATCACTCTCAGCATCATACTCTGCTGTAAGCTTCTCAGCTGGACTGGAAACTATCAGAGGCCAAGGCCATGAGATTTACTGTTTCAGAAGCCCCTACACTTAGTAGAATGTCTGGTGAACAGTGGGGGAAAGAAGGAAACAGGAAGGAAGGTCAGGACCAGGTCAAGACAGTGTCTACAGGTGGAAGATATCAGTTTTGTTTTGCTATGAAGTTTATTTTACTTCATTATTTTATGAGAGAAAAAAGAAGGAAAAAAAAAACGTCTCAACAGGTTCTGGCTACGCTGTGATCCTGCTCCCAGTCAGCCAGGATCCCGGGTGCCCAGCACGTTCAGGTCTACCCAGCATCTACATCCAGGAGTCCCATAATGGCTCCAGTATCCCACAGTGGGGCCCTATTGCCTGCACCACTGTGGCTGGCCAGAAATGTACTTTTGTTTTATGATATTTAAAATCTAAGATGAAATGAAGCAGAGACAAACACTAAGAATTATTATTTCCTACTAGTTTTTCATTTCAGATGTCTTTCTTCATTTCTATAGCTATGGGTCAAATAGTTCAAATTCTTTGGAGAAAATTGTCTCCTAATTGGTGCCTCGCTCAATTTCCCTGCCTTACCCCCTACACTTTCCAATTCTTGGATGACCACACTACAATCCCTACTCCTCCACTCTCCTCTCGGGACTTTGGGCATGCACATACATACACCAATGTGAGTTTTAAGCCACTGGGTCTGGGACTCAAACCACAGTCAACTACACAGGACTCCAGCAATGTAACCATTATGCCATCTGCTGGTCTCTGACAAGCTGTTCTTTAATGATTAGGCATTTTGCGTCTTTCTTTTCTTCCCTAAGCCTGTATTTCTATTCTGCTTCCATCAAAGAATTCCATCTTATTATGACATATTTTTATGTGTAAAAGTCTTATCAATTATCTTTATTATCACAATAAAGAATATATGATAAAAATACATGTGTTTTAATTGTTTAACCATGAAGATATTTTTAAAAATTATTCTGGATTGGGGACCAGCAAATGGCGTAATGGCTATGTAGCTGGACTTTCATGTAGTTGACTGCAGTTCGAGTCCTGAACCTGGTGGCTTAAACTCAAATCGGCCACGTGTGTGTGCGTGCCCAAGATCCCGAGAGGAGAATGGAGAAGAAGGAATTGCAGCGTGGCCATGCTCCCTTGGGGGTGATTTCTCACTTTCTATCTCTCTGTCTCTATCTTTCTGGTGAGCGCACGTGCTCTATAGCAAAAACCTCTTCAGAAAAAAATTATGCTGGACTGAGTTATCAGTTCAATTAGTATTGGCATTCTATCCATAAAAACAACATAAATATGTTATAAATTTTGATAAGTAATCATTACATGGAAAAAATTAATTTTTATCTTAAATGTCTCTCTTAATGAGTGGATTGGGACTAGCTAGTTTGCTAAAATTAAGTCAGGTATCTGTACTGAAGACTGAGTAGTTCAAGTCATGGACTTGGTAGCTTGAAAGTCATGCTGGGAGCATGTGTGTGCATGCCTCACATCCCAAGACGATAAATGAAGGGACTGTAGCATGGCCATCTCCCCCACGGGGATGCTATCTCACTTCTCTTTCTCTCCCATGTTCTCTCTTTCTCTGTATCCATCTCTGGCAAATGCACATGGCCTAAAGCAGAAAATTTAACTTTTGTCCCCCTCCCAGGAGTCAATAAAGTGCATTTTTACAGGTTAAAAAAAATTGTTTCAATATTTCTTTTCTGGATGGTATATGTGGTCATCAGACAGAGAGAGAGAGAGCACCCCCCAATGCGGTATGATTATACTGTAATCCTTTTTCCTCTATTTCTTGATCCTAAAAGATTATGGGCACACATATACATGCACCAGCATGTATTTCTAGTCCCTGAGACCAGGGTTTGAACCATGGTAGACCATGTGGATCTGGCCCCCTACATACAAAGCTTAACTACTGGAGCCAGCAGAGCATTTAAACTTTTTTATTTTTAATTTGCTACAGGGTATGTGCACTCACAAGAGAGAGAAAAAGAGAAAGTGAGAAAGCAGAAAGCACCCTCCAGGGGGATGGCCAGGCTTGAACCACAGTCAGCCATGCAAGATCAGCTGCTTTAACCACCACACTACCAGTTGGCCCAGCAGTATATACTTCTAAAGTGGTGGGCAGGAGCAGAGTGTTGGTCTATTATTCTTGTCATTCCATAGCCAAACAAAAACTTCCTCCAAAGCTGAGCTGTCAGTTCTAAACAAGCCCAGAGATTCTGATCAAGAATGTCTGCAGTGGGGGAACCTATATGTCTAACACATATCCCAAGTGATTTGGATGCAGATGGTCTTGAAGCTACAATTTGTGCAACAGTCACCTAAAGAGAAAGCATACTGGGAAAATTATAAGCTAAAATTTGTAGCAGTGTTTATAAAATAAAAAGTTAAGAACTAAATGTGTGTTAATTAGTTGGCTTTGGAGCAAGCTTGTCCCACTATGAAGTGCATGTATTACAAGCTTAGTGTTGAGTTAAACAGGAGGAGCATAACATTGCCTATAATGAGCACCTCCAGAGATCCCTCCCTCATGTCCAAATGTAAGCAAAACTGACATGCTCACCCTGTGCTCCTGAGTCTGTGGGTTTTCCCATGAGAGAAGAGGAGTTACTAATTCTCTCTACCATTCCTGTAACACATCCTTAAGACAATCTGCTGTACAAGCTACTTCATAGTCTTAACACTTGGAATTAAGAAAAACCTGATTTTAATTTATTTTTTACTTGCTAGAAGGTGAGTATGCTCACCAAAGAGAGAAAGAGAATGAGAGAAGGAACGCAGCCCTATCCTCCCTCAATGTGGTCCTGCTGCAAACCGCTTCTCCATTTCTCCATCCTTTCAGGATTTGGGCTATGCACACATATGCACTACAAACTCCTAGGGCTGGGATTCTAACCATGTGGTCAGCCATGTGGGATCCAGCTCTCTGAACTACCAGGCCACAGGGCCAACTCAAAGAGAAACCTCATTTTAGCAAGGTATTTACTGTCAAAGAATGCCTGGCCTTGTTGTTTTGGGGTTTTGTTGTTGTTGTTGTTTAATTTGCCAGAGGGCATATATAGAAAGACAGACAGAAAGAGAGGCAGAAGGGCAAAGCAACCACCAATGGGGCATGGTCATACTATAATCCCTTCTCTTCCATTTCTTCAATGTGTTGGGATTTGGGGCATGACACACACATGCCTGGCATGATTTTTCAAGCTTCTGGATCCAGATTTTATTTATTTATTTTAATTTTTTTCATATTTTTTAGTTTTGCTGTGGGATACATGCACTCAACAGATAGAGACAGAGGGAAAGTGAGAAATCACCCGCCAACCCCCAGTCATGCCACAATCTCTTTTCCTCCATTCTCCTTTACATTTTGGGCACTCATGCACATGCACCCAGAGTGTTTTTTCAAGCCTTCAGGTCCAGGACTCAAGTCACACAGTCAGCTATGTGGAATCCACATAGCTTAACTATCACACCACTGGCTGGCCCCTGGGTCTAGGATTTTAACGGCATAGTCAGTCATGTGAGTTCCAGCTGCCTTAATCACCAACCACAGAGCTAGTTTCTGCCTGGAGTTCTTCAGAAACTTTTTTTTTTTTAAGGTGGAGTGATCTATAAAGAGCATGAATAAATCAATTCATCCTCTGACGCATTGTAACACAGAAGAAAACACCTGCATATTTACATTTGCAGTATTTATACAGTAGTGTTCATAATGCAGTTTTGCTGTAAAATACAAAGCAAGAAGCTGAAAAAGTAATGAGCAGGGCTAGCAGGTGTGCACTGGATTCCCACATAGCCAACTGTGTTTCAAGTCCCGGACCTGGCAGCTTGAAAATCACGCCAGTGTGTTTTCGTGCATGCTCAACCATAAAGAACAGACTGTACATGATCACTCCCCCGGTGGGAGGGAGGTGATTTCTCACTCCCCTCCCCCTCTCTCTGGCAAGTGTACGCACCCTATGGCAAAAACCTCAAAAGAAAAAACAAGAAATGAACAAAAGTAATGTCACTGGGAAAAAAAAGTGATAACCTTTTTATTTTTAGAATTATTATTATTATTATTTATTAATTTGCTATAGGGTATTTGTGCTCACCAGAGAGAGAGAAAGTGAGAAAGCAAGCAACCAGATCCAGAACTCAAACTGTGGTTAGCCATGCGAGAGTCCAGTACCTTAACCACCACACTACCTGTTAGCCCCCAAAGTGATAAACTCCTTAAAGTACAAGATTTTTAGTATACATTAACTTGTTAGATTTGTAGTAAATTTTTTTTGTTGCAAATAATTATTTTATTTAACTTTATTT